ATGTACCCTCACCCTCTCTGCGTGCTCACACATATACATGTACCCCTCACCCTCTCTGTGTGCTCACAAGTACATGTACCCCTCACCCTCTCTGCGTGCTCACACATGTACATATAACCCCCACCCTCTCTATGTGCTCATACATGGGCATGTATCCCCCTGCCCTCTCTGCAAGCTCACACATGAACACATAAACCCCGTACCCTCTGTGTGCTCATACATGTACACATAACCCCTGCCTCCTCTGCATGTGTACACATATACATGTACCTCTCACGCTCTCTGTGTGCGTACGCATGTAATGCAACCCCACTCCTTCTGTGTACTCACACATGTACATGTAACCCCACCCCCTCTGCATGTTCACACATGTACATGTAACTCTTGCCTTCTCTGTGTGCTCACACAAGTACACATAACCCCACCCCTCTGTTTGCTTACACATGTACACGTAACCCCGTCTCCTCTGCATGCTCACATATAACCTCTGCCCTCTCTGTGTGCTTACACATGTACATGTAGCCTCCACCCTCTCTGTGTGCTCACACACATGCACATAACCCCCATCCCCTCTGTGTGCTCACACATGTACACATAACCCCGTCTCCTCTGCATGCTCACATATGTACACATAACCTCTTGCCCTCTCTGTGTGCTCACACATATACACATAACCCCCACCCCCTCTGTGTGCTCACACATGTGCATTTAACTCCCCAGTGGAGTGGAAACGTGACTGTGTGTCATCTCTGACAAGCCTTTCCTGACCTTTGGCCATCAGCGTGTGACTGCCAGCCATTTCCCCAGCCCTAGCTGCCTTGTTCCATCCATTTCTTACTTTCTCCCATGCCAGTGTTCCCTGGGAAGGCTGATCCCCTCTCCCAACCACTTTTTATTTTCACTCATGCAGCCTCCCACCTCCCACCCTGCTCTGTGACCATGGGGACAATTTCTCAACCACTCCAACTCACACCATTAACCATTCTTGACTTCTTGTTGTTCTTTAAGCCACAGCCCCCCTAACCAGTTGTCTTGATTGTCCCCTCATTGAACCCTGTTCCCACTGCCATTTGCTCCAGTGACGTCAGCAGTCAGCAGTCAGCAGTCCCAGCACAGAGACCACAGCTCCCAGCAAGGGGATGAACTGAGGAACTTGCCCAGAGTTTTGTGGGCCATGGGGCTGCGGCCATGCTGCGGTGACAACGGAATGAGAGGAGTGGAAGTGAACATAGTGGGGAGCTTTGGGGAATGGCTGAGGATGGCTGGGAGGGCTACTTACAGATTGGACTTCCCTTTGGAATCTGCCCTGCTGGAGATGGCAGGTTCCAGGTGCCTGCCACAACCTTGCTGCTGCGGGAACAGGCAGGGATGAGTGAGAATGGGGGTTCTCCAGGATGGGATTGAAGGAAGTCAGCAGGGCCTGACGTATGTTGTGCCACCACCCCGGCGGGTACCTTTTTGGTACAGAATCACTGCTGACCTGTGGCCTGGCCACAGATGTGTTGAGTGGTTCTGCTGCCATGGTGCTTTTGGCCTGAGTGCCAGACACTGCTGGAGAGATGGACTGGCAAAGGCCAGCTTGTCAGCTGTAACGTCCCTAGCAATGGGGGGCTACCAGTGAGGTTTTCCTCCTGACCTTTCCCTCCACTCTGTGTGAGAGCTGCTGTCAGACCCTCTGCCGCAGACCACCCCCCTGCACCGTCCTCTCCTCTGTCCCTCCAAGCCTCCTCTTCCTGAGGGATTGCATCTAGGGTAGTGGAAGGATAACACTGTGGACGTCAGTCCTTGGAATCTTCATTATTCTTTATCTGTTAGCCCAGACTTGCCAATGGAGTGATTCATTAGACTACCCACTGCTGTCAAGTCAGATCCGACTCATGGCGACCCCTCTTTGGGTTTCCGGGGCAGTATCTCTATGGAAGTAGATTGCCCAGCCTTCCTAGAATGGAATGTGTTATTTGTGATTGAAATCCCTTGTGCATCACCGTCTTGGCATGAACAGAGTAGCACATCTCACCAGTTTCTCTTTTATTAACTAGATGTTGCTTTGAGTGAGTGTTGAGTGAGTGTTCTTATGTGACACCCATTGAAAACATATTCCTTGCAAGTTATAGACACTTCAACAATTGAAATTTGATTTTAAATCAAACCTTAAAACGTATCATGTTGAAAATAGCTCCTTTGTATGGTCCCTTATCTGCAATAAGTTTTGAAGATCCACAGATGACGTGTTTAGAAATAACTGCTCATGAGACCGCCTTTGCTCCCTGAGTTTTCATAGGGTTTTAGTTGCCTCCTGTTCAGGTTCTGGTGCTCAGGCCAGAAGGGTCAATTGTCAGAGGCTCCATGCTCAGGTGAGCCCAGAGCACAACTCTCATCCTTTGGCCTGTTGCTTTCCACTGCACTACCTACCCCATCTTCCGGGTGGAATGGCATGTTCAAAGTATTAAAAGACAAAACAACACTAACAACTCTGTCAACTAAGAATTGTTTATCTAGTCAAACTGTCCTTCCGAAATGAAGGCGAAAACCCTCATGCGTTGCTGGTAGGAATATCAAATGGTTCTGCCAGTGTGGAAAACAGTTTGGCAGTTCCTGAAAAAGTGAAATAGAGAGTTACAGTATAACAAGCAACTCCATCCTAACTCTACACCCAAAAGATCTGAGAACACAATTCCACACAAAGACTTGCTCATGAATGTTCATAACAGCATTATTCCTAATAGCCAAAAAGTGCAAACAATCAAATATTTGTCAGTGGATGAGTGGATAAGCAAAATGTGATCTAGCTGACAAGGAAAATTACTCAATCCTTAAAAGGAACAAAATCCTGGGACATGCTGGGACGTGGACGGACCTTGAGAATGTTATGCTAAGTGAAAGAAGCCAGATCCAAGAGGCCACGTATAGTACGATTCCACTTACATGAAGTGTCCAGAGTAGGCAAACCCGTAGAAACAGATAGTAGATGACTGGTTGCCAGGGAGTGGGGGGCCAGTATGGGGTTTCCTCTTGGGATGGTGGGAACATTCTGGAATTAGACAGTGCTGATGGTAGCACAACCTTGTGAATATACTGAATCACTGAACTGTACACTTTCAAATGGTGGATTTTATGGTTTGTTATTTGTACCTCAATTTTAAAAGAGATTGTAAAATGAAGCAAAAAAATGAAGATATTCCCAAATAAAAGCTGAGAGAATTTGTCACCAACAAACCTGCCCTACCAAATAGCTTTAGGGAGACCTTCAGGCTGAAATGAAAGGACACTGGACAGTCACTGAAATCCACATGAAGAAATGAAGAGCAGCAGTGTAGGTACTTGAACTTGCTCCTGTACAAGTTCAAATTGAAGCTGAAGAAAATTAAAACAAGTTAACAAGAGCTAAAATATAACCTTGAGTATATCCCACCTGAATTTAGACACCATTTCAAGAATAGATCTGATGCACCAAACACCAAAGACCGAAAACCAGACAATTTGTAGGAGGGCATCATACATGAAGAGAACAAAAGGTCATTAGGAAGAGAGGAAAGAAAGAAAAGACCAAAATAGATGTCAGAAGAGACTCTGAAACTTGCTGTTAAGTGTAGAGTAGCTAAAACAAATGGAAGAAATGATAAAGTAAAAGAGCTGAACAGAAGATTTCAAAGGGCAGCTTGAGAAGACAAAGTAAAGTATTATAATGAAATGTGCAAAGACCTGGAGTTAGAAAATCAAAAGGGAAGAACATGCTTGGCATTTCTCAAGCTGAGAGAACTGAAGAAAAAATTCAAGCCTCG